ACACACACACAGAGAGAGAGAGAGAGAGAGAGAGAGAGAGAGAGAGAGAGAGAGAGAGAGAGAGAGAGAGAGAGACGTCCCGCAGTAGCACTGTGAAGCACCTGAGTCGCACCCATGTCACCACAAAGTCAAAGGCCTAGCGGAAACCAGACACAAAATCAACACCTGTGCTGCATCCTTGTCACCATCCTCTTCTCTTATTAGCTTGTAATCTACTCCATCACTGCTTTTTCAGTCTGGTTACTCGGACAAACCCAGCTTCTCAGTTTCCTGGATTTATCCGCAGCTCCAGTAGCGAAAAGCTCGCGGTTGGCACTGGATGCCTTTTATTTATTACCCTCAAGTCGCACTATTACAGAAGCTCCCTTGCATAACACTCTCACGGAGGTCCTTGGTTAGCGTCTGTAAGATGAGGAGGGCGACAATGAGCTTTATGTGAACCATCAAGGAACGAAAACCTTTGTGATGTCTGCCATCATCACTGTTATAATCCCTCCCTCACCTCCACTGTTTGCACTTTCAAAATCGATCCATAGGCAAAGCAACCCCCCCCCCACCACCACTCCCTCACCATACATTACTATTGCTCTCTCTCTCTCTCTCTCTCTCTCTCTCTCTCTCTCTCTCTCTCTCTCTCTCTCTCTCTCTCTCTCTCTCTCTCTCTCTCTCTCTCTGCTCTGGATTCTTTCCATACAGAGCTTATCTTCACCCTTCAATCTTATCGATGGAGGACAACCCCGGAGTCTCCCGACTCGGAGCTTATCGTCACCCTTCAATCTAATCGATCCAGGACACACCGGAGTCTCCAGATTTTGTGACCAGATTCCACTCACCAACCCCCCGTTCGGAAACCATTCGCCACGCATGACTGTAGCCACAGAAATTCACCTCATAGACAACTACCCCAACCATCTTTGTGATCGACGCACTCACTGCGTCACCATGACTAACCACCAGTACATTTTCGCCAACGTACTGATCAGTTACCCTCTCGTACGCAAGCATGAAGCGTTGCATAGCTGCCACCTCAGACTCCGGCCACTTGGGAAGATCGTTAACGAATGGCTGCCGGGAGTCCAGATTTTCAGCAGGAATCAGCCTCTGCAAGTCAAGCATCAGATCTGGAAACCAATTATCATCACACGGTCTCTCCTTGATTACCCTTGGGTTCAAGATGTCACATACCCCATAATCAACAGCCACTTTGATGGACGGTACTTGACGTTCGCGTTGTGGTGACATCTCATGTCGTCCTTCCTTAAGGCCCTGAAGAACAAGCCTTGCAGTCTGAATGCAGCGAAGAAACGGCGAGCAAACGATTCTCGATATGCCCATGTCTGCCAACTTCAGTCCTGTGTCGTACGCCTGTTGATTTCCTCTTTCGGTAAGGGGAGGGTCCCACAACCGCGGACTTCTCCGAGCCCACTCCTCGGCCTTCGAGCTGTCATCGATGCGCTGCCCATGGCGCATCACAACAAGAGTCTGAGATCTCCTCATGCCACCTCTGTGCGCTACTGCATAATTTGCGGTGCTTGCAGACCAACCTACGTCGCCAGTGCCGGCATACCAACCTGCATTGCCTGCGCCCGCACACCGACCTACCCTGCGTGTCTCAACATGGGTGTACCTGGCGATTGGACACGGGGAGTCGACTGCCGGAGCTGGGACGCTAGATGACGAGCAGTCTTCTTCTCGATACTGATTCCACGTCCGAGTCTGTACTGAATGCTTTGGCGCAGGCGCAGGCGCAGGCGCAGCACCAGGTTGAAATCGAGCTGCAGCATTGCTTGCAGGAGTATCCCATAGCATGGAGATGCGGTCGATCGCCGCGTCAGCAGATGCCGCCAAACGAGGATGACTGTGACATGGTGACAGAACTCCGATGTTCGAACCACCGTCGCGCAGATGCGTCTGCCGAGAGTGGCCCTGAGCAACCTGCTCTGGTGCTGGAACCATTTCATCACTTGCGCCTTGTGCCCTACGGGAACGCTTCTCGTAACTATACAAAATAATAGATCCCTGTTGTGCTGGAGGACAAGGGTCTCTAGACTCTCTACTTTGTGGCTGATGATCACGATCATAGGAAGGCGCACCGTCATCGTACAATACAGTAGTACGTGTACCGTCATGTGCTGTGTGCGAATGCGACAAACCAGAGTGACTGTCACGCTGTTCGGGGCGGGAGGAGGTTCTGTTTCTGCTGCTCCTCCTCAGAAGGGGATCACAGCCGACATCATCAGCCTGCGGTGCATGTGACACCTGCCACTCACTTCGCAGATGACTGCGTGGCGAAGCACCACCTCGGGGAACCGAAGAGGACCCGTCCTTGTTGCTCATATGAAGAGGAGCCGCTCCCCAACGATGATGAGCTGCAATATCTGCAGGAGATACCATCGCCTGCTTCTGACAGTTGTCCTCAGGGTCCACGTGGCAGTGCTCGGTTTGAGCATGATTGCGGCATGAGTGGGCGGCCATACCAGAATCGGCTAACAAGTCTCCACTTGCATCCAGGCGACGGTGCCGGGTATTATCACTGGGGGACGAGCTGGCGGAGATAGGAGAATCGTCATCCAAGTCGCCGCTAACCGGTGGAGAAAAGTGCGTTTCAGTACGGTAACCAGCAGAACATCCAGCCATTTCAGAATCGTCAGGAAAGGCGGCGCCGCCATTCCTACATAAGCGATTGCGCCTTTCAGAATCTGTGGGAGATGCAGAAGCACCTGCCAAGTACACAATCCTACGTGAATGTAGGCCACTTTCAAAATCGGCAGTAGGCGGAGCACAGTCACTGTGCCGAATCGGATGACTGTTTGGCATGTTCTCACGGACAATCACATCAGCAGGAGGTGAACTCCTCTGCTGCTGCTGAGGACTGCCTGGTGGGTCTCCATCACAGCGTACATCATGGGGACTCCTCTGGTGCAGATGACTGTTTGCTTGTTTTCCATGACGGCATACATCAACTTGAAGGCGACTTTCAACATCAACAGCAAAATTTAATGCAGTCCGCCGCTGACTACAGCTTGTCAGGTCCTCGTGGGCGACCAGTTCATGGTGGCGTTTGACATCTGCAGGCGATGAACTCTGTTGCTGATGACCATTTGTGGGGTCGTCATCATGATGATGGAGGAGATCATGCTCACTTTCGAAACCAGCACGCGAGGCAGCTCGCGGCCGATGACTGTGCGCGGGATTCTCGTGGGCTCTTAGATGATGGTCGACAGATGATGAGCTGCGCTGCTGCTGATTATTTGCCGGCTTTCCATAACGGCGGATGAGGAGATCATCTTGAGTTTCGACATCAGCAGGAGATGAACTCCATTGCGGGAAACTGTTCGCGGGGCTTTCATGATAGAGTAGGTCATCACAATTTTCAAAATCCGTACAAGACGCAGCCCGCAGCTGATGACTGTTTGCCAGATTCTCACAGACACTCGGAGGATGGCGATCAGCAGATGAAGTGCTCTGCTGGTTATTGTTTGCTGGCTTTCTATGACGGGCTAAATCTTCATCACTTTCCACATCAGTAGGAGATGCACTCCGCTCCTGACGACTGTTCGCTGAGCTTGCACGACGGAGTGGATGAAGGCAAGTCTCAAGATCACAAGAAGATGCAGTCGGCGGCGACGACTGCTGCTCAGGACTGTCTACTGGGTTCCAATGAGGGATTACTGTTTCTGCCTCTGGTTGTGACTGGGGCTGATGACGCAATCGATGACAGTGCCTTTCGAGATCGCCAAAAACCGCGGTCTGCGACTGCGCCTCAGGTCTGTCTGCTGGATTCCGACGAGGCATTACCATTCCTGCCTCTGGCTGCGACCGGGATGGATGACATGGTCGCCGACCGCGCCTTTGAAGATCACAAGGAGGCGAGGGCGGCGGCCGCAGCTCAGGACTGTCTGCTGGGTTCCCGTGAGGGATTACCGTTTCTGCCTCTGGGTGCAACTGGGACGGATGATGTGGTCGACAATGGCGCCTTTCAAGATCACCAGAGGGCGAGGCTGGCAACTGCTGCTCAGGACTGTCTGCTTGATTCCGATGAGGGATTACCCTTCCTGCCTCTGGGTGTGACTGACTAGGAGGGCACAGTTGATGACAGTGCCTTTCAAGATCGCGAAGAGATGCAGTCGGCGACTGCTGCTGAGGACTGTCCTGGCTCGGCGATGGGCTCAGTGATGCACCCGGCGATGCGCTCGGCGATGGGTTCGGTGATGGGCTCGGTGATGGGCTCGGTGATGGGCTCGGTGATCCGCTTGGTGATGCGCTTGGCGATGCACTTGAGAACTGCTGCTCGGGTCTGGCTGCCGGATTCCGGCGAGGGAATGCAGTTGGTGTCTGCTGCTCAGGCCTTGCTGCTTGGTTGCAACCACGTATATTATGCGTTTCCGCATCCTCCTCCGGTTGCTGCAGCTGGGAGGGTAAGGATGCAGGCAACCGGGAGTGTGCGCACTCACGAGGACGCGAGGGAGCAATGACATCAGGTTCCCCCCTTCCTCCTGTATCTCTCAAAAGGCGAGCACTTTCACCACCCTCCACGTCACGGTAGTCACGGCCGTGATCGCAAGGGTTATCCCCGGACTCTGGTGCCATGGGGGTTATGGGGTGACGGGGAATCCCTTCGGCCTAGCCCGCGCAAAAGCGCATGGGGGACACAAACGGAACGGTTACCCCTGCTTGGTCTCTGCTCCAGGTGCCAGAAACGTACTTGCCGGCTGCTTCCTCTCTCAACCCTCACGCCTTTTTTCTCCACTGAAAGTCTCCCTCACAGGGCTGCGTCCAAATTGAATCCAGCAAAGCATTTGCACTGTGACCAGCACAGTCAATGGGGTCAACGGAAGAAGAGAAATATCGCAGAAGCAGCAGAACCATTAAGCCTGTCCATTACTCTATTGCATTTCGTTCTCTCTCTTTTTTTCTTTTTGGGTGTGTGTGTGTCAACGGGTGGAGGGCAAAAGGCAAGAGGAGGGGCTTTAAAAAAGCCTCAAGGGGGGGGATGTACTTCAAAACCGAGTACATTTTAGGGGGCTGTACTTCAAAACCGAGTACATTTTGAGGCACAAAACAAAGACCAAAAACAGGCAAAAAAACGCGAGGGAGCAGCCGGCAAGTTTCTGGTCAAGCGAACAAGTCAAACCCTGACCCAAAAAAAACAGTTTGTTGTCACAGCCCCTTGTTTGTTGTGCTCTCCTCCCTCTCTGCCAATGGTTTACCATGCAGTTCTGTTTGACGATATATACCACGACTTCACCAGCACCCTGCTACTGTTTTCTCCGGTCAGGTTGAGCATTCGTGGTCGGGGCCATCACTATGCCACCAGGATGTGGCCCCAGTGCAAGCGGCATGTCGGCAGTGCATTTTTTGGCTGTGGTAGAACTTTCTTTGTTTCGTGGGTGCTTTTCTGCCTTGTGATCCAATGTGAACCGACAGTCTGTAGAGTTTCCATCTGCTGTGGGTAAATGACAGTCTGCTTTGATTTTCGTCACAAGTACCTTGAGGGCAGTGGTTGGTGGTCCTCACCACCTCAGGGTATCAGTTGTCGGCCAGTCGTTGATGCATGGCCACAACCGATTGTGGTTAAGGTGGATTTTATCACTTACTTAGTATAATGAGTTACTAGGCCATTCTGCAGACTCTTGAGGGTTCAGCCTCTACTGATTGATGAGTAAGTCGGTGAAACTGCGGCGAAACAGTTTGTCACAGCCCCTAGTTTGTTGTCCTCTTCTCCCTCTCTGCCTACAGTTTAGCGTGCAGCTCTGTTTGACTATATATAAAAGAGGACAACAAACGAGGGGGGGTGACAAACTGTTTCATAGGAGTTTCACATATATGTGAAACTCCGACGAAACAGTTTGTCACAGCCCCTCGTTTGTTGTCCTCTTCTCCCTCTCTGCCTACGGTTTACCGGGCAGTTCTATTTG